AAGGGTGTGTGTGGGGGGTTGCTGCCGTTTTCCGGTAGCCTGGTGCAAAGGCAGCACCCATCGAGGGGAGGGGATGTACCCCGGTGCTAGGGCTGTGTTACCCAATGGGCAGACTAAGCGGGTGCTTAGGGGGACCCGCGAAGTAGGGGGCCCCCAAAAGAGATTTGCCGGGCCAGTGTTTTTATTTTGAAGGACACATGGGGGGGGCACCCCCATCATCTTTTCAGTGCTTAGGGCCTCTAAGAGTCTTAATCCGACCCTGCCTGGAGACTTGGGGGCGGGGGTGCTAGGGCTGTGTTACCCAATGGGCAGACTAAGCGGGTGCTTAGGGGGACCCGCGAAGTAGGGGGCCCCCAAAAGAGATTTGCCGGGCCAGTGTTTTTATTTTGAAGGACACATGGGGGGGGCACCCCCATCATCTTTTCAGTGCTTAGGGCCTCTAAGAGTCTTAATCCGACCCTGCCTGGAGACTTGGGGGCGGGGCTACCCCTGCCCTTAGCCAGGGAGCTGCAGGGGGCGGGGGCACCCCAACTCTGGCTTCCTCCCACGATGGCCGGAGTCCGTGAGGGGAGGGCGGAGCCAGTTCATTTAAAGGCGCAGGGACCTTTTTTTTTTAGTAAGAACTGTTCTTCTTGTATGTTTATCACTGGTAGCAAAGCATGCCTGCAAAATGTGCTTAGGACTTTAAAATGAATGGCAATGGTGTGTATGTATTCAAAAATCTCCATTGGATTTTTAAATATATAAAAAATATATCCTGTGCAACAGGGTGGTGATAGTGAACAGCATTTCTAGTGATCTTAAGGTTTTTTACTCTTCGGGCTGCGGACCAGTGGCCAGTCAGTCGTTAGCACAGGAGCTGGAAAAGAAACCAGCAAGTTTAACAGCTTTACACAAATCTGGCTTCCTGAGAGAACCTAGTTATTGAAGCTGAAAGGATGCAGGTGCTAACATTCTCTGAAGTTCTCTGTTGCAAGAACACCATGTCTTTAGACTATGGTTGTTTTTATTATAAGACATCTTCATTTTTTGTCATATAAAATGTCATTTAGCCCTGGAATAACAAGCAGAAGAATTTGATCCAAAGAATTAGAAGCTTTTCTTATCCAAAAATTACCCATACAAGCTGAACTCTTGGCTTGCTGTTTGAGAGTTGTAGGTTGCTTTAATCACTTAAGGCAGGTCGATGCTTGAAGCACTGCGTCTGATATAGCTTCGGCATTGTACTTGAATGAAGGCGTTCTATACCAATAGGAGAGAACACTTCTGCCATTTTAGTCAATGTACCTCCACAATCTACCTCCGACAGTAGCCATGTCGACGGGAGAAGCTCTCCTTTTTGCTGACATAGTGCTGTCTATTCGGGGGGGGGGGGGGGGGGGGGGAGTT